TTCCACCTCCAAAATGTGTGGTTGGAAATGTGGCTGTAGCATCGGGCTCATGAGTAATGGAAGGACCAACAGAACCCATAACCAGTGACACAGAATTTCCTAAATGGACAATCATACTTGTTAGGAAGTGATTGTTGGCAATGACTATTTTTTTCTATATTCAGCATACATTAGATATTCTGGATTTTGATAAATGCCTTTACTAACAGCTACTTTAGCCAATGCCTGTGTTCTATCTATTCAACTACTACTTTGTAACCTGTGTAGTGTTAATATTCAGGTCATTAACACTTGGAACATTTTCTGAATGTTGCATTGTATAATATTATTACTTCATTACTATCTCATTTGTTTTACTTTAAGCTTCCTCATAAAACCATTAGGTTAACTTGTGCCTTTTGGAACTTAAGCTGTGGAATTCAAAAGACATAAATTTTGAATGTGCCTTATTGTATTATATAATTGGAAAGAAATAATTGTGCATAGGATATTGCAAGGGCACAACTTGTGATTTTTCTGTAGAACTTTTTTTAATTTAGGGACATGGGCATTGTTGGCTGGCCAGCATATATTACCTGTCACTAGTTGTACATGAAGCTGGTTACGAGCTGCCTCTTAAACCGCTGCAGTCTATGTGCTGTAGGTAGTCTGACAATACCACTAGGGACGGAATTCCACCATTTTGACCCAGCAACAGTGAAGGAATGGTAGTTATACTTCAAAGTCATGATGGCGAATGGCTTGGAGGGGAACTTGCAAGTGGTGGTGTTCCCATGTATCTGCTGCCCTTGTCGTGGTTGTGGGTTTGGAAGGTGTTTTCAGGATCTTGTAGATATTATGCATTGCTGCATGGAATAAAGATGTTAATTATTTTATAAGTTTTTTTTTTGGAAGTCTTGTGAAGGGAAAATTTATTGCAATCCTTCAAGGTTGTAAATGTGATAATGATATAGTTTTGTCAGTCTTTATTATATGTAAGCTTAATTTTTGTTTTGCAGAGGTTATGTACAAAGTCATATTTTTGCATTCTGATCATGGTTGTCTTGTGTTATAATCTTCTGACAAAATACTTGATTTTTGCATTTCAGCTCTAATGTCTCCAAACTGGCAGATATTACAGTCCCTGCAAATGACAATCCTGTCAAAGAACATCCCCTTGGTAGGTATAATGTTTTGATTTAATTTCACCTTCATAAATGGTTAACTGTAGTTTATCCTTAGCCATTGCTAGATATTAACTTTTTCCTATGTCTGTGTTTCTTAGCGTAACCTACAAAGTTGATATGTGGATCTGTAATTGCGTGACTGGCACCAAATTTCCATGATAACCACTTGCTGATCTGCACAGTGCAGACATGTCAATGTGTTTTCTGGTTTAGAAAGACGAGCAAGTTTTCCTGATTTATCACTTCAGAACAATTTTTTTTAACAAATTATTGTTCCATTGTCTAAGCTTTCTCTTTATAAATGCTCTCTCTCTCTGAGAGAGATAGAACCTCTTTAGAACTGAGGATTAATGTTGATCTATGTACGATAGTACTAATTTTCTTAGCCAATTTTATATATTTTGATTTTAAAATTACAGAAACATTGTTTAAATTTAAACAACAATAGAAAACCTAAATTGTAGTAGTATTTCTGTAATTTTACAAATAAAAATCGAATGAAATGTTTGTGTTATATAGCCTTGCATTCTAGACTGGATTAAATAAGTTAATGATGCTACATATCTTAGGGGCATTTAAGCGGCTATTAGATAGGCATATGGATGATAGTATAAGTTAGGGGTGGAGGTTAGATAGACCTTAAGTTTCGGGTAAAAGTTCGGCACAACATCGTGGGCCGAAGGGCCTGTACTGTGCTGTACTGTTCTATGTTCTATACTGTGAAACTTACTGGTGTTGCAAGAACATTTATTAACCAAAATGTATAATAAATTTATTCAAAACCATTTTTTCTGAACAATATTGAACTGCATTGCATTTTTAAATGTTTATATTTCATCCAGCTCATTATTATGATTTGTGATTTGAATAAATATACAATAATATTAACTTGTATCACTCGTTTGCCAGAAGAACTCTTGTTTAAAAACCTAATTGCGTAAAGCTCACCTACAGTAATCAGCTTTAATTAAATTACAAGTGGACCAGTTAAACTGTGCTTTTATGGTTTTCATCCCACTTAATGAAAGGATGTGATTGGCCATAATTGTCTTGTGCTAGTTGCAGTACTGAAGGACTCTTGTCTCTGGGTCTGGTGCAATTCCTTTTATTTCTTTCCCTTCATTGTGATGATCTTACTTAAACAGACTTTGAACCTTTTTTTGTCTCAATTTTTCAGTGCATCCGAATATCACTGTCGGGAAGTTGTCTCCAATTCGAGCTCGTACTATGAAGGAGTTTGAAACAGTAAGTTAGTAACCTGTTGCATGAAAATATTATTTTAATCGCCCAGAAAAGATCGATTCTACTAACCAGTAATTCTCCGTAAACTATATTATAACTGTACTTTATTCCTTGGCTAAAACCCTTCTTTCCTTTTTCAATATTTATAAATCAACAGTATTTAATAGTGCGAATTGATTTAATGGGTGGGTATCCAATGCAGTTCAGATACTACATTTAATTCATGAGATTATACATAACTTTCAGGTGTGTCTTTCTTTTATGTTTTTAAGATTCTCAAACTTTATGCATAATTTGTGCTAATTTTCAAATGAATTTGGACTATTTTACTAAAAAGAGAATATTTTGTTGATAAAACATAGAAATAGAGAAGATAGGAGCGGGAGGTGGCCATTGGGCCCTTAGAGCCTGCTGTGCCATTCTTCTCGATCATGGCTGACTGTCCAACTCAATAGCCTAATCTTGCGTTTCTCCCCATAATCTTTGATTCCATTTGCCCCAAGTGCTATATCTAGTCGCCTTTTGAATACATTCGATGTTTTGGCATAAACTACTTCCTGTGGTAATGAATTCCACAGGCTCACCAGTCTTTGGGTGAAGAAATGTCTCCTTATCTCCGTCCTAAATCTACTCCCAAATCCTCATACTGTGACCCCCTAGTTCTGGACACACTCACCATTGGGAACATCCTCCCTGCATCTACCCTATCTAGTCCTGTTAGAATTTTATGAGTCCCTTTGTGATGCCCTCCCTCATCAGACAGAGAAAGAAAAAGAGAGAGAGAGAGCAAGAGCCTCTTTCCTCAGAAAAGAAGTCCAAAACTGCACACAATATTCCAGGTGTTGGCTCTGCAAAGCTCTGTATAACTGCAACAACACATTCCTGCTCCTGTACTTGAAACCTCTCGCAGTGAAGGCCAACATACCATTTGCCTTCTTTACTGCCTGCTATACCTGCATGCTTACCTTCAGCAACTGGTGCACAAGGATGCCCAGGTCCTGCTGCACACTCCCCTCTCCCATTCAGGTAGTAACCTGCCTTCTTGTTTTTGCTTCCGAAATGAATAACGTCCCATTTATCCAGACTTTTATACTGCGTCTGCCATTGATGTGCCCACTCACCCAACCTGTCGAGATCATGCTGAAGGATCTCTGCGTCCTCACCACAGTTCACGCCCCAACCACCCAATTTGCTAATATTGGTGTACATCTTGTTTACTTCAGCAACACATTACTTTATCCCAAAATTTCTAGGAAATATACCTGGTACTCTCGTGTCTAAATTGCACCATGAACAGATGATTTGTTGTAGGTAAAAGGGTGCTACTCTACCCTTAATGACTTCAAAAGCACAAGTGTGCTTTTTTTCTGTCTCTATTCTGACTTCTTCTGTTTTCCTTATACTTACTGCATTGAATGAGTCTCTGCTCCACCACATGTTATAAAATGGGTAATAAAAGACCTCTTCTGGATAGGTTCTGTTTAAGAAGCAAACCCTGATTAAATAGTTGTAGTGCCATTCAAAATAAGTCAACAACTGGTGTTTATGAAGTAATTGTGATGTATTTTTATGGTTGCTTACTGCATAGCAAATCACTCATAAAATTTGAGCGGCATGGATAGGGTGAATAGCCAAGATCTTTTTCCCAGGGTAGAGGGCATAGGTTTAAGGTGAGAGAGGAAAGATTTAAAAGGGACACAAGGGCAGCTTTTTCATGCAGAGGGAGGTGCATGAATGAAGTGAACTGCTAGAGGAAGCAGTGGAGGCTGGTACAATTACAACATTTAAAAGGCATCTGTATAGATAAATGAATAGGAAGGGTTTAAGAGGTATATGGGCTAAGTGCTGGCAAATGGCACTAGATTAATTTAGGATATCTGGTCGGCTTGGACGCATTGGACGAAGGGTCTGTTTCCATGCTGTACAGCTCTATGATTCTATAACTGAACCACTATTGAATGTGTCTTAAATATTTTGAGCTTCAGATTCTCTTGCATTGCTAACATAAATGTCAGTTTAATTCTAAGGAGGAGTGTCTTTCAGTAGCTATGCACCTCAGTCTAGGCAGTGAATAGTTGACATTGCCTAGCTCAATTCATGAGGAAAGCACATTTTTGGTAGCATATTTGGCAGCATTGACATTCAAACCTCGAGGCCAATGTTTACTTTGGGCTGTATAGCTAAAGGTAAAGCAAACACTGAACTCGGAGAATAGCCTAGTTTAGTATTGGTCAGTAGAGATGCCATGTGATGGCTGAACAGCATTATAACTTGAAATTATTCTTATTGTTGTCAAATTTGTTATGACTTAAAATTTTAACTTCTTATGGCTTCTTGATGGATGCACACAACCTGGGATTTCTAAATGCTGGTCAATGGTAATTATAAATGAGGAAAATCTAGATCTCACAGGAATCATAGCTAGTGGAACCATAGATGTTTACCACTCAGCAGCCATTCAGCAAATCGTGCGTAAGCTTTTTGCGAGTAAAATCTGAAACTATTTCTACTGTCCACTATTTTCCCGCAGTCATAAATCTTTCTGCACTTCAAGTGATTCGGTTTTTCCCTAGAATAGAAGGCATTTTATCACTTTTTGTCATCTTAAGAAGGAATGATTCTGGTGAGGCTTTCATCTGAAGACTGTCTATTGAGAAATTCTTCCCATTTTTGCAGAACAGAATTCAATTGTACCAAAACTTAGGCAAGTTCTGAATTTATTCAATTAATATTAATTAGATGGTTCTAGATCTTCATCAATAATTCTTTTTACATTTAGCCTTAATCATACAGTACAATTTTCAACTTTATCATGGTTCTACGTGAACAGGCATTCAAAACACTGATGTAAGGGATGAATAATGACAGAAGGAAAAATGTTTTCTTGTGCCTATTGATTCCATTTGATTCTGTTTTCCACTACATTTTTCAGGTCTTGCTTTGTTGTTGCAGTAGTGCCAACTGTCTGTTGTAACGCAGAATCAGACTGATGAGATCAGATGGGTGTGGAGCACAATACTGTACTGTCTCCATGTTTTACATCCTGAACGCTGGTTAATTGTACTTGATTATTTGATTTGCATTTGAGTCAAGTCAGTGCAAGGAATTTTGAGCAGCGTTTAACAAGAGGGTTCTGATTTACTCTCCAGCTAGTTATGTAAAACTGTTGGATAGAGAGTTTTGAAAAGTCTGATGTAAACACCGAAATAAACAGGTACGCAGGCGATGACCAGTTCTAGCTTTTCGCTGCTGTCCATTCTCAGACTGGTTATTCAAAATCAAGTCCACATTCTTGTGATCTGGGTTTTAATCCTTGTATTTAATTTGATCAAACAAAATGTTGCCAGCTAGGTTGCCAAGTCGGATGGAGGTACACTGGTATCAGGTGGATGGGGGCTAGTTTAAGAGCTAAGGTATTCCGAGGGCGGAGTAGGTAAATCGTTGAGGGCTTAGTGTGGGGCAGAGAATGGAGGCTGTCTGGGCAGAGTCAGTTAGGGGTTCGGTGGGTTGGTCAGAGTTGGATTGGAAGGATGTCAGGTAGTGGGGAATGTCAGGGAAGTGTTAAGTGTCCGTAGAGAGGGGGCAGGGAGATTTCATATTCCCCAGGCTTCCTATCTGTGTTGACTTTTCAAGACCCTTTTATAAAAACCTATATCTGACCACCCCTCTTATCTCCTCTTCTGGCCCTCTGCATTTAAGATTGAATTACGGATTATGTAAATGTAAGTTGTTGTATTATAACTTCGGCTAGACTATTACTCATATTTATTTAACCCCTTTTAACATGAAATGTCTGGATGTATGTTTGTTTTGAGTTTGACTTTTTAAGGAGAATAAGCCTTTGAGAATAGAGCATAGGTGGGGGGGACTTTTGTTAGGAATGCATATCTCAATGATTCTTGTCTTAAGTGTAAAAGAAAAGTGTTTTGATCACAGAAGAGATCAGAAAAGAACATAAATTCAGTTTAGTGACTCATGATTCAAACTGCTTGATGGAATGACAAAATACCCAGAATGGTGGGTATAAATTGAATCTCCCAGCCAGAATGAATTATTGTAGCAAATGAGTTCCTGAAATCCAACTGCCCTAATTTTAGGGGTAAAATTGGATAATATTACAATATCCACTTACTGCTTCACAGCATGCACGGAGATATCTCTCTATCTCCAAGGAGAAGCACTTGCAAAATTTAAGGTATGGGTAGTAAACTTGAGAAGGTGCTAAAATGGGAATGAATTGGAATTGGAAATGGAGTGGAATTGATTGATACTGATGTTCTGACTAATATTGAATAGATGAGGGAGGGCAGTTCTATGCTGCTGGATGTTGGAGAAAAGTGCTGGAGGGTACTGTGGTTCAGGCTACATAGCTTCTCATCAGTATTCGCATTAATGTAGACACTGCTGTACCTCACCTTCACTTCTGTTCACCTGTGAGTGGTCAGGCTGCTCTTCTGATCCAGCACTGAATGAGCAGAAATTTCCTCCAACTACATATAAAGACAGAGCCATTGTCTTCATTCATGTCATAGACTTTTCCCTAGACACCAGGTCTACCCCCTCTCCCAGGCAACTGTCTGAAGCTGAACCAGATGTTTTGAAACTTGGTGTTCAATCCTAAGTCTAGATATTTTCACCTCTGAAATATTACCCAATTCTCCTCTTGTCTCTGCTTATATGCTTCGTTAAGTCCATGTCTATGTTTTTGTTACCCCTAATTTCATTAGCCTAGTGCGCTTCTGGCTGATCACCCTAGTTCTTCGAAACGAGGTCATTTAAAACTTTGCCATTCATGTGCTAACTTGTGCCAAGTAGCATCCATCCATCTCCCTTATGTTCATTGATGTACATTGACTCCTGGTTAAGCAATGTCTGCTTTTTTTAAAGAAAAGAAATCCCTGATCTTTTTTGCCTTAAAATCCTTCCCTGCTCTATTTCCGATCTTCATCCAACACTCCCACTCCTCCCCAATCTCTGAATCATCTATTTCTAGCCTCGAGTCA